AAGGATGAGGTCGAAAAGCACCGTGCTTTTCTCAATCCACCGTTCACGTGCTTCGCCTTCTTCCGGCATCTTCTCTTCCCCAACAGCAATCTTCAGTAGCTTGTAGCGTTTGAAGGCACTTCTCATCCGTCCGCTCCATTCCTCATAGTTGGAGCCATCCAAAGCTTCAACTTTTGATGGCGGCGGTTCACTTGTCTTCTCAGCTACAGCTCCTCTTCCATTAGCATCTCCTCCTCTCTCATTCATCTTCTCCTTGAGAAATGACGAATTTCAGCCCCCCTTTGCTGTCCACACTCAGCTCCCTCGATATTTTCACAAGTGTCGGCGTCCACGAAATTTCGGCAGAGTTTCCCTTAGCGGAAGACACATCCAACCTTTAGAACACCACTTAGGCACACCCACAGGCCATGGTGGGTCTAGAAGGGTCTTCACACTTCTGTAGACTCCTCTCAACGTCCTTAATACAGCTCTGATACCACTTGTTAGGATTAAGGACGGAGTCTAGGTGAACTTAGGAGCTAGAATTACTCAAAATATAAATCCGAAATTCTGGACAGAAAAGTCGTCTTCACAAGAAACGACGTCGACAAACAACTAGCCGTTGGAATGTCGCGAAACTTGGATATGTTGTAGCTCTTAATCTCAGCTACCGTTCCCAATTTGAATCATGTTGATTGATAAAGTATTCGCGACGCTATGGCTTTCGACGCACTAGGGGGTAAGCTGTAGGAGGAGAACTTAACTCAATCTCAAGAGTTCAATCAAAGTTCAAGAATCTCACAAGGAATTAGAAGGAGCAAGAGAAAGGTTGGGATAGAAAGAGAGGGACGAGAGGGAAGGTCCCAAGAGAGTCCCCAACCAAGGAAACCCCATAAGCACAAAGATTCCCTCCCTATAGGAACCCCAACTTTGACATTTGTCCCTTCCCAACCAATCCATCCAAGTTGGCCACCCTTGCCAACCTAGCTTGGTTGTTCCCAACCAATTTGCAGCTGTTACAGTGAGTGACAAATTTCCCAAACCCCCAAAGGTCCCAACTCCATATAGAGTCACCCCACAACTTCACTTTGTAACCGCCGCAATTGTAACGCAAGCTCATGAACTTTGAATCTTCATAGCTTTCGCGTTCTTGCTCCGATTGAAGGGATTCTCGTTGCGTCGGAAAGATCTTCTCAAGATCTATCATCACAAAAACCTGCTCAAACAAAATAACACAAAACACATTCCCAAACTCCAGAACACATCACACACAAATTCTTGCACACGTTCAAACCACACATGCAAGTTGAAAAAATATGGGATGGGAGGCAGACAGAATGTGATAGCATATGATGACATCACACAACACTGCCATCCTTGCATAGGTGTCCTTGATCTTGTCAAGGACCGGCTTCACATCGTCCCCTGGTCGCATGGAGATGGCAGCAAGTTCCTTCTCGAGCACGATCACCATCAGGAGAGTGTTGGGCTGAACCACATCACGTAGTAGTTTCCACGCCCTTGGACCCGAATCATCCGCTTCCACAAGATCCTTGATGTGCTCGAACATCTCCTTGTTGACCGATTGAAGAATGAGGTCGAAAAGCACCGCGCTTTTCTCAATCCACCGTTCACGTGCTTCGCCTTCTTCCGGCATCTTCTCTTCCCCAACAGCAATCTTCAGGAGCTTGTAGCGTTTGAAGGCACTCCTCATCCGTCCGCTCCATTCCTCATAGTTGGAGCCATCCAAAGCTTCAACTTTTGATGGCGGCGGCTCACTTGTCTTCTCAGCTACAGCTCCTCTTCCATTAGCATCTCCTCCTCTCTCATTCATCTTCTCCTTGAGAAATGACGAATTTCAGCTCCCCTTTGCTGTCCACACTCAGCTCCCTCGATATTTTCACAAGTGTCGGCGTCCACGAAATTTCGGCAGAGTTTCCCCTTAGCGGAAGACACATCCAACCTTTAGAACACCACTTAGGCACACCCACAGGCCATGGTGGGTCTAGAAGGGTCTTCACACTTCTGTAGACTCCTCTCAATGTCCTTAATATCGCTCTGATGCCACTTGTTAGGATTAAGGACAGAGTCTAGGTGAACTTAGGAGCTAGAATTACTCAAAATATAAATCCGAAATTCTGGACAGAAAAGTCGTCTTCACAAGAAACGACGTCGACAAAACACTAGCCGTTGGAATGTCGCGAAACTTGGATATGTTGTAGCTCTTGATCTCAGCTACCGTTCCCAATTTGAATCACGTTGATTGATGAAGTATTCGCGACGCTATGGCTTTCGACGCACTAGGGGGTAAGCTGTAGGAGGAGAACTTAACTCAATCTCAAGAGTTCAATCAAAGTTCAAGAATCTCACAAGGAATTAGAAGGAGCAAGAGAAAGGTTGGGATAGGAAGAGAGGGATGAGAGGGAAGGTCCCAAGAGAGTCCCCAACCAAGGAAACCCCATAAGCACAAAGATTCCCTCCCTATAGGAACCCCAACTTTGACATTTGTCCCTTCCCAACCAATCCATCCAAGTTGGCCACCCTTGCCAACCTAGCTTGGTTGTTCCCAACCAATTTGCAGCTGTTACAGTGAGTGACAAATTTCCCAAACCCCCAAAGGTCCCAACTCCATATAGAGTCACCCCACAACTTCACTTTGTAACCGCCGCAATTGTAACGCAAGCTCATGAACTTTGAATCTTCATAGCTTTCGCGTTCTTGCTCCGATTGAAGGGATTCTCGTTGCGTCGGAAAGATCTTCTCAAGATCTATCATCACAAAAAACCTGCTCAAACAAAATAACACAAAACACATTCCCAAACTCCAGAACACATCACACACAAATTCTTGCACACGTTCAAACCACACATGCAAGTTGAAAAAATATGGGATGGGAGGCAGACAGAATGTGATAGCATATGATGACATCACACAACACATTGAAGCTTACAAGTTCAGAGATATGATGGAAACATTGAAGCATAGTTGGGAGATGGGGACGGAAGGGAACGATGAAATAGAAGGACCCTCGAAGCTCTTGGTCAAGAACATGACAAGAGTCAAAGTCTTGACTTCCCATCCTCAGGTTCAACCAGCCTGGAAAGGCAAAATCCACACTGTGCCAGGTTGGCATCCAAACTCCAAATGCTGCAGCTGCAAGGTGTGGACAAAAGTCCCACACATGCTGGTCCCTCCACGTTATAGGGCTCTCCAACTTTGGTGTAGCAGCTTTCAAGGACTTCCAATATGTTGTAACAAATCCATCACACGTTTCTTCGTAACTTCTTCATATGTGCTCCGACTCCAACAATTCTTGGCTCGTTGGAATGTGCTTGATGTCATGCACAACCCAAGAACATTTTCACAATACAAGATGAACATGCAAAGACATGCAAACCCAACAAACCACACAAACAACGTAGCATATAAAACATATGCAAACGAAATGATTGCGAACAGACGACAGGATGACGTGCAAAGGAATATGCACCAACAAGCAGTAGGGTCAGCCACATTTGGACGGATCCCCCCTCCCTTGTGATTGGTTCTAACCCGTCCCTTCCTTTCCAAACTTCAATTCCTAGCTTATTTGTCTTCCTATGTAATGCCGTTCCTTATTCAACACATCGGCCTTTCTTTTTCTAACATGGTGTAGAGCTACAATAGCTCACGCCAATTATTAAACCTGATCCTTCCCTACACTTGCCCCCCATCCCCTTTCGACGTGCACCCAGTTGCCGTCCCCTACATTGCCAGCACCTCTCATTCTCTCTGCCACTATTCTTGCTGTGTCTCGTTCTCGCCGCTGCTAGTTCTCTGTTGGGTGCATTTTCAAATCTCCATGCGCTAAACACCATAGCACGCTCAATTGTTAACGGAATGCAGTCATTAAACTTGCACTGGAAAGATACAGCTGTAAGTTATGACGTCGTTGATTTTCGGAGTGTTTCATCATCTCAATTTCCGGATATCATTTTCCAAAGCTCGCATGCTTTCCCCGACATGATAACAAAGTGCTGCTGAAATTTATACACCCCCAGTCTGCCTAACGGCGTAAGCTACGATGTCGTCAAATTTCATATTGATTCAACGATTCACCTTCCGGATATATCTTTCCGAAGATTGCGCTCTTTCTTGGACATCAGCTGCTACAGCAGCAGCAAACGGAGGAGGAGGAGCAGCAGCAGTAGCAGCAGCAGGCAAAGGAGCAACAGCAGAACCAGCGGCACTAGCAAGAGCAGCGGATACAGCCGGAGGAGCAGCATCAGCCGGAGGAGTGCAGCCACACTCAGCTTCTCTTCGCCTCCGCTAGTCTCCAACTAGCCGCCCGCTCCTTGACCACCACTAGCCTCCAAGCCGCCACCCATCACTTCACCACCGCTAGCTCTCCTAGCTGCCGCGCGTCCCTTGTGACGCTGCTTGCCGCCAGCACCTATGTACCGCTAGCCACCTGCCATTGCCTGCCGCCGTGCGCAGCCTGCTTGCGACTTCACACAAGCTGCCCGCTCGCCGCACGCTGCCCGCTCGCCGCACGCTGCCCGCTTCCCATTGACGCTCGCTGTACGCTGCCCGTTGGTCCTGCTTGCCGCGCGTTGCCGCGACTGCACGCTCCCTGTTCGCCGCGTGCCGCTGTCTCCCACCCGCCTCTTGCCTGCCGACCCTTCCTCTACGTGAGGAGCCGCCGTGGGCCCATCCGCCATTGTTCCACTTCCGTGCCGCCGCAGGTCCGCCTGCCGCCGCCACTCTCAAGCCCCTGTGGGTCCACCCACTGTTGCTCCCCTTCAATCTGCCGCGGGTCTACCCGCAGTTGTTCCACCTCCGTACCGCCGCCACTCTCAAGCAGCCGTGGGTCCACCCGCTGTTGCTCCCCTTCGAACCCCCAGGGGTCCACCCATTGCTGCCGTGCTCCTTTGATGCCGGGGGTTTTCCCGCCGTTGCTGTTGCTCCCCTTAGCAGCAGCGGATTCCTCCGACACCATTCGTTCCATTTGCCACTCCCGTCTCCGCCACAAGACCTCGTTTCCACCTCCTTGCTGGTCATCCTCTCCTCTCTAACAGCAGCAAATGCTCCACTTCCAGTAGTTCCTGCAGCAGCAGCAGTAGCAGCAGCAGCAGCAGCAGCAGCAGCAGCAGCAGCAGCAGCAGCGGCGGCGGCAGCAGTTCCATCAACAACAGCAGCAATTCCAGCAGATGCAGCAGAAGCTACAGGCACGTCCGTTATTGGGCATTGGCAGCCAGTGCAGCCAGTCAGCTGCAGCATGGTTACAGAATTGCATGTATGGCCCATGGTGCTCCCTTCCCTCCGTTTCCTCTGCAACCGTCCTAAAATCCCATACCAACACCCTTTGACACCTCACTCCTATCTCCGTGGCTTTTCATTCACATGCTTTCCTTTACTTCTTTGTACACATCACCTCCCTCTCTACTCCTTTTATCCCCCACTTTGGACTTCATTTTTTGTACCAGTGCCACTGAAACTGCCCTAAAGGATGCCAGGCAAGTGAGCTATGTTGAATCATCTGCTAATAGCCTTCTCTCACCAACAGCTGGTATCAGAGCCCATTATCACGCATTTTGAGACCTAAAATACAATAAGAGATAAGGAGGACTCTGGTGGAAGTGATACTTCAGCCCAAGGAGGCAGCTCTATCCAAGATTCTGGCATTGGAGTGCAAAAGGGAGAACGTTCAAGAATCCTTCATAGCTGAAAGAGGTGCTGAAAAACGTCACTGTTGAGAAGTTTTCTGGAGATGGCTATGATAATTGGGCATGAAAGATGCAGCTCTACTTTCGACAAATTGGCCACTTAAAGCTCATAATTGGAACAGAGCCAAAACCAAACGAAATGGCAGATCAAGCGGACTGGGATGAACGTTCATCTGCTGGGTACAATTTATTGTCACAAAGCTTGAAGTTGAACCAGAGGCATCACATTATGCATCTGCTACCGGAAACCAATTGTGGGCCCAAGGCATAAACAGTGCTCAAGGATCAGCACACTATGACATCGGTTGCCGCAAACCTTATGCTGGATAGGGAGCTGTCCACTCAGCGGTTTAGCGAGAATGAACTTGTGCAGCCCATTTTTGACAAGATGAGGGACCTCTATGCGAGATTGGCGATCGCGGGCATTACGTACCCTGAGTAGACCCAGTGTCTCAAGATGCCCAGTCTGCTGTCCGAGTCTTAGCTGCAATTTACAAGCGGACTCAGCTTGGCACAAAACCAAAGTCAGTGGACATTGGTCTGGATCCGCACCAAGATTCTGGAAGAAGATCTCCGTTGCCGTCAACTACACGGAGGTGATAATGTAAGAAATAGAGTTGAAATGATTGATTAGGTAAGGAGCCCAAGGCTCTATAAGTACATGGCAAGGTGAGAGAGAATGGATGAAGGGGGAATTGGAGGGAATCCCCATTGGGATCTCCGGAATCTCCAATTGGGTAATTGGAGATTGTGGGGATCACAATTGGGTGAGGTTGGGATTTGTGAGTACACTCCAACCCACTAGAACATTCACAACCTAAACTAGCATATAAAAGTACAAATACAGAAGTGGTATTTGCAGTCTATTTCTAACACACCCCCATAGACTGCAAACCCGGTCAAGGAGCACATAGCCCCATGGAACGGAGAAGGCGATGGTGGTCAGCCTTGCCGAGAGCCTTGGTAAAGAGGTCGGCGAGGTTGCAATCTGAGGCGATGTACCGTACCGTCAGCTGGTCACTCTGAACAAGATCTTGGATGAAGAAATGACGAAGTTCGATGTGCTTGGTGCGAGAGTGGAACACAGGATCCTTGGTGAGATGAATGGCACTCTGGTTGTCACACCACAGGGTGGGCGACTGCTGAGGGTAGCCTAACTCAGCGAGGAGAAAGGAGAGCCAGCGTGCCTCTTGAGCAGCCATTGTGCCCGCGTAGAGCTCGGCCTCGCAGGACGACAGGGAGACTGCAGAGGACCGAGTGGAGCGCCAGCTGATGACTCCGCTACCAAGGGTGAAGCAGTACCCTTGGGAGGAGCGTCTGTCAGTCTGGTCATCGGCCCATAAGGAGTCTGTGTATCCCTCGAGCTTGACTGGAGAGGTACCACCAAGAGTGAGGATGTGAGACTTGGTGGCTTGTAGATAGCGGAGGACCCTCTTGGCTGCAAACCAATGCGAGGCAGTGTAGCGTCCGGGGGAGACGTACCGAGAGAGGACACTAACCGGGTAAGCCAAGTCTGGTCGAGTGCACATCATGGCATACATGAGTGAACCGACTAGCTCAGGGTACGGGTCCTTGCAGGCGTCAGGAGAAGGAACTGGAGGGGCCGTGAGCTGATGCTGTAGTGGGAGTGGAGTGGAGACAGAGTTACTGGAGTCCATGTCGAACCGCTTGAGAAGGTTGTCGATGTAGGACTCCTGCGAGAGGGTGATCGTGCAAGCCTGGCGGTCACGAGTGATCTCCATCCCCAGGTAGTTCTTGAGGTCACCAAGATCCTTCATGAGAAGGGCGGAGCTGAGAGCAGACTGGACAGCTGCCATGTCGGCTGGATCTCTGGCGGCTAGAATGGAGTCGTCGACGTAGACGAGGATGTAGAAGGGCTCGGAGGAGTGACGAACGAAGAGACTGGAATCTGAGGCAGAGGGATGGAAGTCAAGTGCGAGGAGGACTTCCTTCACCTTGTTGTGCCACTCACGAGGAGCCTGCTTGAGGCCATACACTGGGCGCTTCAGCTTCCACACTGTGTTGGCAGGGTAAGTGCCAGGAAACCCCGGTGGGCGTTCCATGTGAACATCCTCCTTGAGCTGGCCTTGGAGAAAGGCGGAGAAGGCGTCCATGGACTTGATCTCGAAGTTGCCGCGAGCGGCTATATCAAGAAGAGCGCGCATAGTCGGGAGCTTGGCCGTGGGCGAGAATGTTTCGAAGAAGTCGAGATACTCCTTCTGGGTGAAACCCTTTGCCACGTATCGTGCCTTGAACAGTGGAGCTTCGCCTGGGAGTTGTTTGACTCGGAAGATCCATTTTCCGCCGACGATGTTGACACCGGAAGGGGGGAACAACATCGTCAAAGCTGTTGTTGCGAATGAACGCCTCGTTCTCCACATCCATTGCTGCCTTCCACTCCTTATAAGGCCCCGAGAGAGCTTCCTCTTTTGTGCGAGGAGTCGGAATGGTCGAGTTCTCGGTGAAGTTGAGGGATGGGCAGTCAGTAATGTCCGGGAAGATGTGAGAGAGAAATTGGCAGACCGCGTGAAGGTCAAACAGCTCCTCATGCCTGTCCTCCAGAAGTGCACGGGGGGGAATACGGATGGAGGGGACATCACCCCCGCCAGGAGGAGGCGGGGTGACCGAACACCGGATGGAGAAGGCGGCTGGTCCCCAGGCAAGAGGCGGAGCCGGTCCCTTGGAACGAGTGCGACTAGAGACCGGAGACGAAGGCGGCTGCGGTGGGACCGGAGGGACTGGGCGCCTCCGATAGGAGACTGGTGAGCCGGGCTCGACGCGCGGGGAAGGCGGAGCAGGAGGAGGTGCCGCTGCGGAGGATACTGGGGAGGCCGGGTGATGGACGCCGGACGGAGAAGGCCCCGGAAAAGGGGCAGCGGCCGGAGGTGGGGCATCGAAGTCTGCCCAAACAAGCGTCGGGGGAGGTGGAGGAGGCCCGCCCGTGGTCGCAGAGAGGAATGGGCGTGTCTCATCGAAGACGACATCACGGCTGCGAATCAGCTGTCTGGTGATTGGGTTGAGGAATAAGTAGTCTGGGGAGTCGGAGTTGTGCCCCAGGTACATGCAGGTCTGGGTTTTGGGACCAAGCTTGCCACCTTGCTTCCTGCGCGTGTGTGGGGGCTTAGCAACACATACGCGGTACACCCCCAGACGCGTAGAGAGCGGGCGGAAGGCGTGACCCCAAGCCAGAGAGTGGTAGGTGTGGTGTCGGGCCGGTGGGGATGCGGATAAAGATTGTAGAGGAGTGCCGCATGGAAGAGGGCATATCCCCAGAGTGACCGTGGTGCGTTGGCGTGACAGAGGAGGCAGCGAGCGATCTGAACCAATGTGTGGTTGCGGCTCTTTGCAATGCCATTTTGCTGCAGGCTTTCGGGGAGCGTGAAGGTTTGCCGAATCCCTTGGGCCGCACAGAAGTTATCGAGTTTGCCATTGCGAAATTCTCCCTCGCCATCAGAATGGAGGTACTTCAGAGGAGTGCCGAACGTGACTTGAGCCTGGCGCACCCACGCCATGATGACATCAGGTGCCTCCGCCTTGGTATGCAGGAGGTGCACAGAAACATACCGCGAGTGGTCATCGACTAGTGTAAGAAAGTACCGATGACCGTCTCGGGATGCGACTGGAGCTGGGCCCCAGACATCCATGTGCACTAGGTCCAGCGGAGCAGCTGCGACGGATGGGGAGGAAGGGTGCGGCTGCTGCCTAAGCTTGCTCTTGGTGCAGTCCAGGCAGGTGGGTGCAGGTGAGTCTGTTGGTGGAGGAAGCGCCGACGGGAGGCCAAGAAGAAGTTTCTTGGAAGCGATGTCGGCAAGTGTACGGAAGTTGGGGTGACCCAAGCGATGGTGGTAGAGGATGGTTGGGTTGGCGAAGCTGCGACACGAACACGGAGTGGTGCTGGCAGCTTGCGCTTGGGAGAGGGCAGCGAGAGGTGCAGGTGAACGCAGCGTGTAGAGCTTGCTACTGTTGAGTGTGAAGCGTGCTAGGAGCTTGTTGGACTTAGGGTCGAAGAGGTCACAGTGATCCGAGTGTGCTGGGAAGATCGTGGTGACGCCTGCCCGTTGGAGCTCGTGTTGGGCCACGAGATTGTGGCGTAGTGTGGGAACACACATGCCTGTCACACTGCCCAAAGGAAAAGCTGGGCATGGAACTGTGGAGGAGCCCTTGGCGTGTGTTGTGAAACTGGAGTCTGCTCCTAGTAGACGGATTGGTGTCTCGTATGGCTTGAAGGAGTGTTCTTCCTTGAGAACCGTGTGAGTGGCCCCACTGTCGAGGGTGAACTCTATTGTGGCTGAGGTGCTTTGTGAGCCGGGACACTGTGAAATGTCTCATTAATTATGGCAGTGCCAGGGAACAACATGTGGAGGCGCACATCAGCAGTGGGAGCTACAGCAGCCTGCACGGATTCCTGCGCTTCGACTTGATTGACCTTGCGAGGAGCACGATTGACCATCCAGCTTGGCGGCTTGGAGGCGGTCCCATTGACGGCATACCAATCGTCATCCTTTTTCTTGAAGCAGGAGGCAAGGGCGTGGTTGGTGCCGCCACACACCTGGCCGGCACGAGGGCAGCGCTTGATGACATAGGGACACGGGGGGAAGCGGTTGCACTGGAATGGCGCCGAAGCGGCATAGGCTTGAGGCACGGGAGCGCGGATTGCATTGGCCTTGGCTTGAGCGCTATTGTCCTTTTCGGCAGAAAGGAGCGCAAATGAGACCTTGGCAAATGTGAGGTCTGCAAGAGCAAGGCCCAAGAGCATCTTGCGTGTGACTTCGTATGCCGGAGTGAGGCCGA